TTTCATTTAGCATATTTTTGATTTGTTTTTAATGAGGCTTTTGGGTAAAAAAGGCAAGTCGTGAGAAAATTATCTCACTGGAGACGGTCAAGGGAAAAGAGAAAAGAAAGGCTTCTGTGAAGCAGAAAAACAGGAACTCGGTATTGGATGGTGTGACTTTCTCTTACTTACTGGTCCTGCATATGCTGAAGCTCCCTCCAGATTTCAAGAGCAGGCTTTGGAAAGGAACAGCCCTGGATACTTACACCTCACGTGCACCTCCGCAGGGTACAGGGTTCTGGCTGAGGCACTCCCTCGCCACTGATCTGTTGCATGCTACATTCCTACCTTCTATAAAACTGCTCAATGGATTTTTAAAAAGACTTAAGAAAATAAGTGACCAAGAATTGCAAATGAGGCAACCCAAGAAGCAGGGTTTAGAGTTAATTAGCCCTTGAACTGTCAAGCCCAGTTGCATTCAGTGAGTTCTGACATTTCTGAGAATAATTAGGGACTTGGCTGTCACTTTTCACAAAGACCCAACTACTACGTGAACAAGTTCTACCTGCTTTTCCTGCAGGATGTCCAGAAACACACACACAAAAGAGCGTTATACCCAGTGCTAACTGCAGAGCCTTGGGGTAAGTGCCATGTTTTCGAAGACCTTTTCCTATATTTGCAATGAAATACAATGACTCCACTTAAGGGGCAGAAGCTAGTGGTGATTTAAAGCCATCTGAAATCACTGGTGATAATAATAGCCAAGACGTACCGTGTGCTTACTGCGTGCTAGGCTCTATGCTAAGTGCCACAGAGCCTATGAGGGAGACATATGTATGTATATATATATATATATAATCTCAATTAATAGATGAGGAAACTGAGACACAGAGAGGTTATGCAAGTTTGTCAGGGTCATACAGTGTCTTAGTTCATTTTGTGTTGCTATAACAGGAGGTCTCTATAAAGAAAAAGCTCTATTGAGCTCGTGGTTCTGCAGGCTGGGAAATTCAAGGTCAGGTGGCTGCCTCTGACGGGTTCTGGTGAGATCCTCATGCTGAGTCAAAACACCACAGATAAATGAAAGGGGAAGCAGATGTGTGTAAAGAACAAAAAAAGGGTTACTTCACTTTACAACAACTGCTCTTGGAGGAACGAATCCATTCCTGCAAGACTAACCCAGTCTTTCAAGAAAGGCCATTAATCTATCTTAATGACTTAATCACCTCTTAAAGGCACCGCCTCCCAACACAGCTACATTGTCAATTAAATTTTAACATGAGTTTTGGTGGAGACAAAGCACATTCAAATTATAGCACATAGGCAAGATCAAACCCAGGCAGTCCAGCTCCAGCACTGGTGCTCTCAGCAATGGTGCTCAGTGCCTCTCAGCCTTACCACTGGGTTACGCTGCTGTGGGACCAGTCAGCTTTTCTGGTGTACATTATTAATCTTGTCAGAAAGAATCCATTGATTCCAAAATTGCACATGATTCTGATTTCTTGCCCTCTAGGAACTGTCATTCAAGTGAGAAATAAACGTATCTGTAACATCTTTAACTCAGCCCACATTCAAGTGACTGCTTCCTAGTTATCTCCTACCATCTTCATTCACTCATCAAATATTTCTTGAACATTTACTGTGTTCAAGACATTGTATCAAGCTTTATAAGAGAGAAATGATTAGTTAGAGTCTTCCCAGGAGGAGCTTATACTCCAATTGAGGAAATAACACATGTAATATATACAAAATAATATAAGACAAGGTAGTATAACATAAGGTAAAGTATAACACAAGATAATCTAATACGAGGTAAAAGTGGTAAGTACCATAAGAAAAATATTTAGGGCTATAGTTATTCAAAAGAGAGAAATGACTTATAGGATGAGTATGAATGTGTGTGTGTGTGTGTGTGTGTGTGTGCGCACGCACCCCTGCGCACTGTGCAAGGTGGGAAATTTTGGTGGAGAGAGGATAGGAAGAAAAGAGATGAGGAAAAAGGCATCAGAGAAGACTATAAAGAAAAAAATGAGATAGGCTTTTGCTATGGGCTCAGTTATGTTTTTAGAAAATTTGTAGGTTGGAGTACTAATATTTCGTACCTCAAATGTGGCTATATTTGAAGATCAGGTAATGAAGTTAAAATGAGGTCATTAGGGTGTGCCCTAATCCAATACGACCAATGTCCTTTTTTTTTTTTTTTTTTTTTGCTGAGATGGGCTTTCACCATGTTGGCCTTATAATAAGAGGATATTGGACACAGACAGGCAGAAGGAGGACAGCAGGAAGACGCAGGGAGAAGACAGCCATCTACCAGCCGAGGAGAGAGACCTCAGATGGAACCAACCGTGCTGGCACCTTGATTTCAAACATCTCATTTCTGGAAAATAAATTTCTGTTGTTGAAGCCACCAGTCTGTAGTACTTTGTCATGGCAGCCAAAGCAGACTTGGGCTGACAATATAGCCTTGGAAAAGAGAGCGTTTAGACCCAGGGAGATATGAGCTGATGGAAGGGAATGGGGGAGCGTGTTTGGAACAACTGGATTTTATTTAGAAAATAATGGGGGCTATTGCAGGCTCTGGGGCAGGAGTAACATGAAAAGCAGTCATTCAATGTATTTCATTCATTCAGCAAACGTTTACTGAGAGTCTGCCCTGTGCCAGGCATTGTTTATACCAGCTCCAGAGCTGCAGCTATGAATAAGACACCTCAGCACAGGGCTTTTAAAAGGAACCCATCACTGGGTAAGAAAAAATAATGGAAAATGGATTACACTAAAGAGAGCATGGGGCGGGGGTCACTCGTTAGTAACCTTCTATCCTGGCCTAACTCAATACTTTTCCGTCTTCTTTGGGAAGAATCTGATACAAACTCCTCAGGGAAGTATCCTCATCAACGTCCACCCCAACTCCTTGGCCCTGTTCCCAATTGTAGATAATGAAGCTGCCACCTCTCCTCTGCTTAGCTTGACTAGCCAAGAATATTTGGTTGAGCTTTGCCTCCTGTAGTTAGCATTATGTGACATGGCTTTATTATTCCTTTCAAATATAAATACTAAATTGAGACATCTTTTCCAAACTCCACATTCTACCAGGAGGTTTTGAAATAACTACTCCCCTCCCCACCCCAGAGGCTCTGCCAATACACCCCTGCACCCACCACCACAGGCAATGGTCTTTTGATAGCAAACAACATCGTCTCTGCTAGGTAATGACTGAAAAAAAAAAAGGAAAAAAGTATAGAAATAAGATACCTATGGTGACAAATCTTTCCTCAGTGTGACAGGCTGAGTAATAGTTCCCAAAGATGTCCATGTCCTAATCCCTAGCACTGGTAAATATATTACTTTACCTTGCAGAGGTGACTAAATTCCAGGCCCTCAGATGAGTCTGGATTTTCCAGGAGGTCTCAGTCTAGTCACATGGGTTCTTAGAAAGGAGAAGGCCTTTCCCAGCTACAGTCAGAGGGAGCCGTGACTGAGGAAGAATGGCCAGAGAGACACACCATGGCTGGCTTTGAAGATGGAAGAAGGGGCCATGAGCCAAGGGGTGGGAGCAGCCCCTAGAAACCAGAAAAGATAAGTGAATAGATTCCCCCTGGTGCCCCCAAAAAGGATCACAGCTCTGCTTGTACCTTGATTGCAACCCATTGACACCCATGTCAGAATTCTAACTATAGAGTTGTAAGATAATACATTTGTGTTCCTCTAAGTCACGAATGTAATTTGTTACAAGACCAGTCGAACGCTCATGCACTCAATTTGCCATAATTCAAACAAGCAAGGCCTTCTTCTCTGAAGAATGCTTCCTTTCAGGATTGCCTTCATATTACCGTCCTGTTCACAATACCCTTCCCCCATGTGGTAGACTCTGGTCTTATTTTTCCCCCCAGATTCTAAGCTCCTTAGGGGCAGAGACTAGATCATTTATTCCAGTATCTCTAGTGCCAGCATAGTGCCTGCCACGTAGTAGATTTCAGTATCTATACATTAAATGAATGTATGGAAGCCCAAAGCAGCTCAGGGCTTCATAAAGCCCCAATAGAACCTCCAAAGAGAGGCACTAGTGTTTCTTTTCAGACATAAAGGGGTCAAATCTGATGTCACCATTGATGTATATGTATGTCATTATGTTGAATTGAATTTCTGTTTACTGTAACCATGGCAACAACAAATCCCATTCACATGTAGAGAACGGTTAGTTGTTTGGACAAGCATCAGTGAAGGCCCGGCTTCCTAGGAAAACCTTTGTGCAATGTGACTCTGAGCTCTTTTTCATGAAGTGTGTTCAACAGCAGGGCCTGTTCTAAATGGCTCTCCCTATGTGATTCATTTAACTGGTCCATGCAGCAAAGGCGTGGAACCCAGAAACAAGCTTCATTGCTTTGGACGCACTCCTCATGAAATTATGTCTGTTTTTTGCAAAGAAATCATCACTTCATCCACAATTTTTTACTGGTGGGTAGAAAGCATGAAAGTTGCTTCCTAGAAAAGCTGACGGAGAGTTAAAAAAGAAAGAATGCAGCTTCTTCCCCATTGTATCTTTGGTAATTATATTCAACTGTCATGAGCAGAAACTCAGGGAGCTGGGGAAATAGAGTCTAGAGAAAGCCCTACTGGCCAGGGTCTGCTCTATGGTTGCTCTCTCCACAATATAAGGGTGCTGTGCAACCTTCCTGCTGTTGCTGCTTGACCAGCAGCCTCAGGCTGCAGCTGAGATCCTGCCTCTGGAGTGGCTTCCATTCCTCCCACAAGGACTTGAAGAACTTGACCGGGTCCACGGTCAACCTCAAACCACCCAACACTTGGGCCTTTGTAGCTGTTCTCCTTCCAGTTCACCTGTGCGGGGAGTTGACTTCTCCTTATTTTCTCCCCATACCCTGAGTGCCTCTCATTGGAGACCAGTGTTTTCCCTCCTGATTCCAGGTCCTCTCTGCAATCATTTGCCCATCTCCAACCCTGACTTCAGGTAACAGATTCGACTTCGCTCCAACTATCCCCAAAGCAGCCCCATGAAAGTGTTCCATTCAGGACAGTTTATTACGGCCAGGCCATCCCAATGAATGACAACTCTCTTTGGTGATGCGTCCTTCACTATAAACGTCCCAGTGTTGAGAGGCTGTTTGTGCGGACATTGCCAAGTCAGGTGCGCTTTCCCTTTTGGTTCCCAGTTCCAAATCCTTGAGCAAGGGCATAACACTGGCCACTGATGGTCCTAACTTTATCCCCAAGGGCTGAGGGGACCAATTCTTTCGCCTCCATATCAAAATAGTCATCTAGCAGGGGTTGTGGTGACTCTAACGTGCCCTGGGCAGTCTCAGTACAGGTTCATCAGGTCTTGGGCAGTAAACAGGAAGTGCATGGTTGCAGAGCAGAGCTGGGAGGCTGCCACACGATTTTTTTCTTCTTGGCTCATGTATGAGTGCTTCTGTGGCTCCAGGTCTCTGACGGAGGCATACCAAAATCAAGAAGTATTTAATGAGTCACTAATATAGATTAACTGCTGTAACTTAGCTTGACCCGGAAAGAAAATAGATGGGCTAGCAATGAAACATTTGGGATAAATCCTAAGCCATTACCAACTGTGGTAGGTGGTCATCGGAAGAGCTGAGCTGATGTCACACCAGAGTGCCAGAGCAGGTTTGGGACAGGAGGAGCCTGGGGAGGTCCCTGCCGGGCAGGAGGGCTCAGTGGTGAGCAACCCAGCACCCTTCAGAGGAAGGCACCCATCAAACATGACCATGCCTTGTAGAGGCGGGCCAGGGACGAGGACTGGTGAGAAGGCCCTGGTTCAGTCCAAGAAAGGAGAGGCAGGATCCAGGGAACCCTGACATGAATACTCTGTTTAAGAGGCAACATCTCTGGAGAAAACCAAGAAGAGACCGATGATGGAGTGGAAAAAAGTGGACTCTTTTCTTTTTTTTTTTTTTGAAATGGAGTTTTGCTCTTGTTGCCCAAGCTGGAGTGCAATGGCGCGGTTTCGGCTCACTGCAACCTCTGCCTCCTGGGTTCAAGCGATTCTCCTGCCTCAGCCTCACAAGCAGCTGGGATTACAAGTGCCTGCCACCATGCCCAGCTAATTTTTTCTTGTGTTTTCAGTAGAAACTGGGTTTTGCCATGTTAGCCAGGCTGGTCTCCAACTCCTGACCTCAGGTGATCTGCCCATCTCAGCTTCCCAACGTGCTGGGATTATGGTCGTGAGCCACCATGCCCCGCCAGATGAACTCTACTAACCCCTTCATCAAGATGGGATAAAGGGCCAGGTGAGGTGGCTCATGCCTGTAATCCCAGCATTTTGGGGGACCGAGGTGGGAGATCATTTGAGTCCAGGAGTTTGAGACCAGCCTGGGCAACATCGTAAGACCCTGTCTCTACAAATAATTTAAAAATTAGCCAGATGTGATGCCACACACCTGTGGTCCCAGCTACATGGAAGGCTGTGGCAAGAGGATCCTCTGAGCTCAGGAGTTCAAGGCTGCAGTGAGCCTTGATCATACCATGACATCCCAACTCGGGCAAGAGTTAAACCTTATTTCAAAAAAACGGGGGGGGTGGGTAAAGGAGGAAAATGATTAAAAAGCTGAGCCGACAAGTGTGTATTAGAGGACAAAAGCTGATGACTTGAGAGGAAGCCACCGAAGATGTACCTGGGAGGCCACAGGCCTTTGGAGCCAGAGGTGTTACTGTGTGTGAAGACAGAGCTCTAAAGAAGGTACCTATTTTGCCCAAACATAATCAGTCAAGGATAGTGTCCTACTGCCAACCTACATTGGCAAATGACCAAACCCCCCACATCCCTCTAAAACTCCTTTTCCCTTCTTAGACTCCCCCCCAGTAGGTTTTGTACAATGGAGAAGATGATTGGACTTTACTAAGAATCTGTCTCCATGGTCCTTGCTGTAAACAAAGGGATTTTAACTGGAGAGCATTTTCCCACCCAGCCGTCAGTGTGACACATATGCCAACATCTTGCAACTGATAAGCTATACAATAAGGCGTAAGGTTTCTTATGCAAATATGTGTTTCTTTGAACACAGTGAAATAGACAGCTTAGAGCTCTCTTTCAAGCGGTTCATGTCCAAATCGATAGCCTAGCCCTGGACAGAAACAATCAGGATGGCCTCTCATCGGAGACAGGTCCCTGGTGGTGAGCCAGAGGTCACCAAGTCACAGGATAAACCTGGTACAGCATGACAGGAAGGGCTGGCTATATTATGGAATTAGAGAATTTACGTGGCATTTAAAGATAAAACACAAAACTGTAAAGATACGTACCCTTTTAGGGGCTGCAGTAGGCCACACCCCCAGAATCCCAAAAGGTTCTCCTGTGGAAAATTTGAAATGTTCTGCTTATGGACGTATAAGGAAGTCTCACCTAGCTTGGCATCCCATATTCTCACTTTCTTCACTTCCCCCCTTGATGAAAAAAGACTGTGTCATCACAGTCAGAGAAAAAGCACAACGTCTAAATGAATACATGAGAAACAGGAATCGAAAATACATAGAGAACATAGCTGGACACCCTCTTTCACATTAAAAAACAATTAACAGCAACCTCAGCTAACAAAGCAAAAGGACACACGGGGTAATCCAGTGATCCGACAGGGCCGGGGCCTGGTTCCTGACAATAAGGTAGGCTTTGTGGGAGGGTGTAGAGTAGCTCCACCCAAGCCAGATCAAACATGAGGGCTGTAGGCTTAATATCTTCCCAGATGTCTTCAGCTTTCCTTCCTTCTTCTGTGGTCCACTGAGAGGCCAGTGGTCCAACCCTGCTTTACGCCCCTTTAGAGGACATCCCGGAGGCTCCCAGGCTGCCAACACCTCTGGAAACACTGCATCATCACACACCCTGTGCATATACCTGCCAGGGGCCCTGTTCCCTCCTAGATCCCATTTAAAATCCTACAATTTAGGGCACCTGCCCTTCCTAGCCTGATATTACTTTTCTTTCTTTAACCTTAATCTGACCAGGCTATTTGCCAGTCCTCAGCTGCTTTCTTGGATTTTTGTGCACTGTGCTCTTGCCCAGGAATCTCTTCCGGCCTAGCAGAATCTGGAGCTCATTCTTTAGGGCTCAGTCAAACTCTACTACAAAGCCCTGACTAATCCTCGCTCTCCTGTGGTTCTGTCACACTTAGTAGCTCTATGACAGCTGTCACGTTGCTTTGGACTTTTAGTCATTTGCTCTGAGATTCAAAGGCAGCAACCTGAGAGTCAGCCTATGTTTTACTTATCTTGGTATTTTCCACACTCCTTACGCATATGTGCCTTTCTCCTGCTACAACTCAATTTGTTCACCTTGGGCAAGTCACTACATGTAAGACTTGGTGCCCTTATCTGTAAAATGGAGCTAATAATAATAATAATAAGTCCTTCATAAGGATTATTATTAGAATTATTAGAATTAAATGAATAGATGCAAGTTAGGCATTTAGCACACAACTTGATATAAGAAGTGTTACTTGCTACTGGTAACAATATTCTATAAAAATAAATTTTTATTTATTTAATGCTGTAACAGTCCCTTTCCAGCTTTTGGAACATCTCTTAACTTCCTTCCTTAGTGAAGAAAAAGGTACTTCTATGTTTCAGTGTTCTTATTCCTCGCTGCGCATCGAGATCACTTTGAAGCCTTTAAAGATATTCATGCCTGAGCCCCACCCTCCAAAAATTCTCCTTCAGTGGGTGGGGCCTCGCCATGACCAATTTTTGTTCGTGGAGCATTTCTCTTGAGGATCCAGGGTGGACAGCCCCTGCAAATCACTAGATAGCTTACCATTGCTACCAGAGGTCCCTTCAGCCCTTATTGCTAGAAAAACAAGCTGTAATTTAGGGGAGTTCAACCTCCAGAATATTCTACTATTAATACCCAGAGATGCACATTTCACCTTCTTTAACTTCACCCCTGGTCATTCCCTCTGAGCTCTCGTGATGACTCAGCATTCTTAATGCCTCTTGGTTTTCCCTCTATTTCCATAACAGGAAAGTGCTTGTTCAGGATAACTTACTGCTAAGCAATAAAGATATAAAGTAGCGGTGCATAGAAGGGGAAGAAGAACACATAAACTCTTTCCAACTCTCCATTTCTCATTTCTCCTCCCTAATTCATGATGAGAACTAGGCCCGATCCCATCCACCATGAGTGGGGAGGCATACGTAGGAATGGCCTGGTCCCTGTGCCCACGTGAGCAGCTGCACAGACAGTTGGATTATTACAACAGTAAGTCTAGGGTAATTGCTAATAGAGAGATGCAGAACCCTATTTTTTTGCCCTGTAGCCACTTAAAAACCTTTGTCCATAATTGCAGATAGAAAGCTTGTACTTCTTACTGGGCATTGGATTTCAACGGGAATTAGGCCAAAATAGGGACCAGAGAATGGGCCCACTGCGGCCAACCTGGGACTGCTGAATCAGTCCTGTTCTGCCGACTCAAGTCTCTCTTTGAGCTGCAGGACTCAGAGTCTAAGCATTGAGACCAGTGGCTCTATTGCCAAGACAAAGGAAAAATAAAAACGGCTGATTAAATTTGAGACATGGCAGATAATGCCGAAAGGCAGAGGTGATGTGATCTCCGAAGAGAGAGAGACAGAATGTGCGTTTTGGAGATACGGGTATTGGAAAAATGAAGTCACATCATAAGATGACTACTGTGAAGCAGCTGCTCTGAGGAATCCCCCTTTATCCATGTCCTCTTAGATGTCCTCTTTCTCTGTTCCCTTAGAGTCTTCTAGTTCTGGGTGGTCTCTGGTGGTTGCTGTTGTTTTCTAATAGCCGGAGGAATGTGAGTTAAAGACCCACATGAAAGGCCCATGAAATATCAAGGTGATTCTGAGGATGGCTCCATTTGCTCCAGACCCCAAGTTCTGGCTTAGGTAGAGGATACCCCAAGGAGACTCAAACCACGGATCCAACTTTGAGCTGCTCCCAAAAGTCCTAAAATGCCTTCAGCCTACTACAGACAGGCTTAAAAGATTAGTTGGACAGAGTCTTGGACACAATTTTTACAGATTAGGAAACTAAAGCCTAGAGAGGGTAAGTAAGTCACCCAGATCACATATCATGCCTGCAACAGAGACAGGATGAGCACCTGCCTTCTAATAGCCACGCACTTGCCTGGTTCCTTCTCTGAGCTGGGGAATGCCAGGCTAGCCCCAGAATGACCTGTGGGGCTGGAGAAGGAGACTATTCCCAAGCCATATACCCCACGGCCCTCCAGTTTTGGGTGAATGCTTTTGAAAACTTCGTCTAGGCACCAATTACACAAACAAAACAGAAGAAGTGGAGACGGAGTGAGCCAGCCAGAGAGGACATTCTTTATGTATGAAGTCACTGGCTTTCAGTGCAAACTACTTACAGAAACAAGGTTCTTGTGTGGACTGCCACAAGTAAGGTTCTCCAAGGCCTCGAGTTGCAACAGAGAAAATGTGAAACATCTACAAAATGTTCTGAGGCTTTACTCAGCTCTTTAAACTCAAATATTTGTTTTGGATCAGGAAATGGCTCGGGGCATGGACACAATCTCACCAAGTGTGTGATCCCGGTGCCACGTGGCCACAGCATGATTCAGGATTTCTCCTGCTTTAGCCACGCCTCTAATCATCAACAGCACCTGAGTCAGACTCCTGGCGTCCTGGTGGGGCTAGGACCCACCCTTCCATTGCCAGCCTTTGTCTCCAGGGGCGCGTGCAGTCCAGCACCCCCTGCTGGGCACCTTCTCTTGTTCCTCCCCAGCTGGGTTTGCCAGCCTGGACTGGCTGCTCAAATTTAAGACATGGCAGCTAAAGCCATGTGTGACTTAAAGGCGCTCCACTTTCTGTTTTACAGGAGGTTCTGTCTGCTTAAAATGCTCAGTGTCTGGGGATGCCATATTTTTCCTGTCACCAGCCCCTCTCAAAAGAAGGAAATTCATTTGGGAGTGGTTTGGGGTGGATGAGGACATCCTTCCTTCACATCTTTGGTGTGACTGGAACAGGTGGAATTCCTGGCTGGAGGCAGATGATGCTCCAGTGAGCACATCCGAGGCAGCAGCCGCAGTCTGCTCACCTTGCAGCTGAGAAGGGGGAGAGGTTTCACCAGCTGCCTCATCAAACGGAATGCAAACAAACAGAGAGGAGAGCCCTGCTTACTCATCACGCCCTCAGCTACTCCAGCCCTGCTCCAGGGTGCTCAGAGAAAAAGAGGGCAGCCCTCTGCCAAGCAAGGCTCCCTGGTGCGTCTTTCCACAGAGGAAGGACTCCTCTGGGAAGGACTCCTGCTGGGAGACTCGGGGCATCTGGATTTCCAGCTGTACTCAGCAAGGAGTGGCCGCAGAAAGTTCTGAGTGCTTCTTGAAGGAACCATCAACAGAAAGGTAGAGACAGTGAGAGAGAAAGACAGAGTGAGAGAGAGAGAGAAGGGGCCTCCCAGCCTACAAAGTCCATGCACCAGAAGTAAGGACATCAGGCTTGAGACTTCGAAGCTGCAGCCATGCACACCCATTCTCCCAGCAGCTGCTCATGTCTGCAACTCCTGCCACAGAGAGGGGTCTTCCACCCTACAACCGAAAATAAGACTTAAATGCACATACCCCTTTGATGGAAAAACTGTGACCTTCAAACCCATTGAAACAGGAAGTCACTGATTTTAAATCCTTTACTGAGATTGATAAGGTTGAAGGATTATGCCGGAGGTGGACGTGATCCATGGCCACTACACAAATTGAGCTAGGGCTTACTCTTCTCTCATTAAAAAACCCAGTTGACTCCCCCAGAGTGGGTAGAGCGCACCCTCTCCTCTTTGGATTCTCTATTATCGTCCTTAGTGATGTCGTGAGGCTTTCTCAGGACTAAGCCTGCAAGTTGTCTGTTAACCCAGCTTTCCAGTGGGGCTGCCTAATATTGACCAAGTACTTCAGAGGGTCATATCATCTGTGAGCCGGCAGAGATCCAGAACTCCAGTCCAGGACTCACATTTGACAGACAAGGAAGGCAGTGCCAGGGCCTTAGTCCGGTTTCACAGCTCTTTCTGTGGTTCTCTTGGTGACTGACAACAAAACGACACCTCCCTATTCTGGTCTGGCTTGGGCTTCTGGCTGCTGGTACAGAAATAGTCGAAATCCTTCCTTTCAAGCTTTCTGTGTAATGGAAACCCTGCTTGACTAATTAGGGCCCACCTCTCTGGAACTCCTGAATCACTGGCATTCATTAAAATAGAAAAGCATTTTCTCCCCTTAATGAAGGAGAACTGGAATAATATAGATGAGTCACACGCACTGAAAACTATCATGATATTCAAGAAAGGTTGCCTTCTCTCACACCTGCAGACCTGGGAGGGTGGATTTAAATCTGCACCCAGTTCCTCTCCTTGGGCTCCAACTGTGGCAAGAGGATTCGTTGCTGGTTGTTTTTTGTTTTTTTTTCTTTTGCTCCGGTTCCTTGTCGTAGGATGGGGATGTGGGTTTTGTTTTAGGAGGTATGGATTTCGTGGGCAGATGGTGTGGAGGAGATTAGAAGAAAAGCAATATATACACACAGAAACACACACACGCCACCCCACACCCATTAATACACACACACAGAAACACTCACACCACCCCACACATTAATACACACACACAGAAACATACACACACCACACACACACAAATGCACACACACAGAAACACACATGCCACCCACACACACATTAATACACACACACAGAAACACACACACCACCCCACACATTAATACACACACACAGAAACATACACACACACCACACACACAAATGCACACACACAGAAACACACACGCCACCCACACACACATTAATACACACACACAGAAACACACACACCACCCCACACATTAATACACACACACAGAAACATACACACACCACACACACACAAATGCACACACACAGAAACACACACGCCACCCACACACACATTAATACACACACACAGAAACACACACACCACCCCACACATGAATACACACACACAGAAACACACACACCACCCCACACATTAATACACACACACAGAAACATACACACACCACACACACACAAATGCACACACACAGAAACACACACGCCACCCCCACACACATGAATACACACACAGAAACACACACACCACCCCACACATGAATACACACACACAGAAACACACACACCACCCCACACATTAATACACACACACAGAAACATACACACACCACACACGCACAAATGCACACACACAGAAACACACACGCCACCCACACACACATTAATACACACACACAGAAACACACACACACACCACCCACACACACATTAATGCACACACACAAAAGCACACCCCACACAAACACATATGCAAACACTCATACCACACACAGACACCATATACTCACACACATAAATGCACAGGTAAACACCCACCCAGACACTCTCACACACATACAAACACACATACTCACACCCACTCACACTATACACAAACACAAATATACAAATATGCACTGACATTCTCTCTCACACACACTCACACACATACACACGCACCCCTTTGGTTGCCACAAACTTTGGTGTTTGTTCCCAGTGGCTGGCTCAGCAGAAAACGTGGCTGAGTTGTGAGACTCTGTTTCGAATGTGGGAATTGCAAAGAGCAAAAGCGTTCCTCGGGTTCAGGACAGCACTGGCCAACGGGAGCCTCGCGAGGAAGAGAGAAGACGTGATTTCATTCTCTAAGAGTGACTTTTGAAGTTGGAGCTGGATTTTGCGTATTCACCTTGGTGATGTCACTTTATCCCGCTGTTTCTCAACACGCAGTGCCTCTGATGAGGCTGATGCCAGGCTTTCGAGGTACACCCTTAGCCACCGCTATGATGTCAGTTTTTGGTGACAGCACATGTTCAGATGCACCATGGCTGACCAAGTTTGACCGGGTAGATAGCACCCCTCTCCAGTTTGAAAGTCCTCATGATACTTGGAATGTTTAGAAAAGCCGTAACTTAGGAGTGGTTCATAACTTCTTAGAATAATGGTGCTTCCCTCTAATGATGTATAAGCAGAAGACGGCAGCTTTGGACAAAGGGAGTAATTCAGGACTAAGCAGGGACCTCTAGATCTGGAAGAAAGAAGTGAAGTTAGTGCTTTCGTCAAAGCTTTCAATATTTCCTTAGATTTTAGTGCACCTTAAATCCAAAGCATAACTAAGGATATATTGGCTATGGGAAGTGGTTTGTTAAATTAATGCTATGTTGGCCAATTTAAAAAGAATGATGTGAAATGACTCCACAAGCTATAGAACTACAGATGGGAATTAGCATGGCTATTCTGATTTAAGGAAACAAATTTGAGAGAAAAAGAATTCTGTTTTGTTGCAAAATTAGAGTTGAAGAAATCAGGTAGGTAATGAAAGATTCAGGGAAAGATTATATATATATATATATATATATATATATATATATATATATATATACATATATATATTTGAGACAGAGTCTCACTTTGTCACCAGGCGCCAGGCTGGAGTGCAGTGACACAATCTCGGCTCACTGCAACCTCTGCCTCCTGGGTTCAAGCAATTCTCCTGCCTCAGCCTCCTGAGTAGCCGGGACTACAGGCACATGCCACCACGCCCAGCTAATTTTTGTATTTTTAGTAGAGACGGGGTTTCATCATGTTGGCCAGGATGGTCTCGATCTCTTGACCTCGTGATCCACCCGCCTCAGCCTCCCGAAGTGCTGGGATTACAGGCTTGAGCCACCGTGCCCGGCCAGATGATACTTTTAAAAAAAACAAAGTTCTATAGTCTCCTACCCAGATTTCATAAGCCTTCAGGGTTGTTTTAGTTTTGTCAAGGGCTTAAAGAACTTTATCCAAAAATTCTTAAAATAACATTAAATCCTTTAAAGTTTTTTGTAAGGTGTCATGGTGCCCTTGTAAAAAAGAGAGAAGGGATTATTATGATATCCAACCAATGACGGCGTGTTGCAAGCACCAGAAGTGTAGTCGTTACTGAATTGGATTCTGAACTTCCAACTGAGGACAGACCTGGATTTGCTCTACAGGGTGTGATATCTTATCAGATTTGGGATTTTTTTTTTTTTTTTTTGTATTTTGGAATATTTGCACATACATAATGAGGTATCTTGGGGGTGGGACCCAAGTCTGAACATGAAATTCATTTATATTTCATATATATCTGCACATGGCCTGAAGGTAATTCTATACAATATTTTAAATGAGTTTGTGCCTGAAGCAAAGCTTTGACTGGGTTTTGGCTGCTATCTGTCAGCTAAGGCTGATTAGAAAAGGCAATTTTAGGCCAGGCACAGTGGCTCACACCTGTAATCCTAGAACTTTGGGAGGCTAAGACAGATGGATCACTTGAGATCAAGAGTTCAAGACCAGCCTGGCCAACATGGTGAAACCTCGTCTCCAGTAAAAATATAAAATTTAACCAGGTGTGGTGGGAGGTGCCTATAATCCCAGCTACTTGGGAGGCTGAAGCAGGAGAATCACTTGAACATGGGAGGTGAAAGTTGTAGTGAGCTGAGATTACACCACTGCACTCCAGCCTGGGCAACAGAGCAAAAATTACATCTCAAAAAAAAAAAAAAGAAAGAATGAAAAAGAAATGGCCATTTAAAACATTTAAAAGCTTTTTTTTTTTTTTTTTTTTTTTTTAATGTGAGATAACCAGAAACCTTTTTAAATCTGAGGCTGATTTTGCCTGGGATAAAACCAGGAAGGGCTTCATTTGAACCCGCCAGAAGACACATTTCAGGTCTGTTCACCAGAACTGTGCATTCCTCAACCAGAAACACAAGACCAGTGGAAATGGGGAGGAGAAGGAGGGGAGCCTGGATGGAGCGGAGAGATCTGCCTGCCTTAGCCTGACTTCCCTAGAAAGCAGAGCCTGAGGCAAAGTATGTGGGCTACTTCTAGAGTGAAGAGTGCCTTCCTAAGGACAGAAGAGTGGGGGAAGTGGGCAACAAGGAAGGGAAAGAGGGAGAGCCAATAACAGGCTCTAACGGAGCCTGCTACTGCTGGTTGTTCAGCTCAATCAATGATGCCATACTGCAGGTCCATCTTCTGAAAGGCCATGTGAACAGCTGCATCTCCGGACAGGCCTTCTGTGGGAGAAGCGGGAGAGAGTTTAGCCATTTGCTGCCTTCGTCTATGAGTCAAAGGTTAGCACTGCAGGTGGTGACTCCCCTTGCTTCTGGTTGCACACGTGCACACACTATGTGATCGCTGGATGTGTCACGACAGAGCTCAGCAGAGAAGCCCCAGGCTGGAGGTGAGGCACTAAGCAGTTGCTCATGCAAGTCTAGGATGGAAGGCAGTTTCAAGCTCCTGAGAAGTTGGTGACAGCCCGTGGGGAGCTGCTCAGCACAGCACCAGCTGGAACAGAAAAAGGGGCCAAGGACCTTAGAGGAGAGACCCAGAGAATCTTGAGGGGTGGCACAAACCTCTACCTAGATTTGTGTTGGAAACATGACCTTTTCCGTCTTTGAGTGTGATGGGATTGGGCATCCGCTGATGTCCAAAAGTGGCAGACTGCTTGCTGTTTCTCCAGGATTCATTTCCCTCTTCTTAGGAACAGAGCCCCCAGTTTGTAACTGTGCACTTGGCTTCACAGGATGAAGACTGACTATATGTTTTCCAGCCTCCTTTGCTGATTGGCGTGACCATGTGACCTAGTTCTGACCAGTGAGATGCAAGTGGAACTGACGTGTGCAACTTCCGGTTTGTGTCCTTCAATGAAAGGGATATGCTCTTCCTTGTTACTCTCTTCTTTCAGGTAGCTGGAATTCAGATGTAATGGTTGGCACTCCAGTGGCCATTGTGGACCACAAGGTGACCTTGGGATTGAAAGCCGCAGGTGGTAAAACAAAAGTCATAAGGAGCCTGAATCCCTGTCACTGCAGTCACCAAACCGTCCCTGAGCTGCTTACTGACAGACTTTTTACAGTGGAGAGACCTAAATTTTTGCTTTACTTAAGCCACTGCTATTTTGGGTTTCTTATTCCTTTGGCTGAACTTTCGTTGTTGTTGTTGAGACAGAGTCTCTATCACCAAGGCTGGAGCGCAGTGGGTGTGGTCACGAATCACTGCAGCCTCGACCTCCTGGGCTCAGGTGATTCTCCCACCTCAGCCTCCCAGGTAGCTGGGACTATAGGCATGCACCACCACATCGTGCTAATTTTTTTTTTTTTTTAATTGTAGAGAGAGGGTTTAGCCATGCTGCCCAGGCTGGTCTTGAACTTTTTGGCTCAAGCAATCTGCTCACCTCAGCCTCCCAAAGTGCTGGGATTACAGGCATGAGCCACCACGCCCAGCCCCTTTGGCAGAAAGTAATTCTGAATGATACAGCATTCAAAGCAGGGAGGATGTAAACAGAAGAGGAGCATAAGGATCCACTTTTAAAAATGACTCTCCTTTGTGTCCCACTACCCCTGCCCACTCATAGCACCTTTGGCTACCCGGATGATAAAGTGAACACAGTCACACCTCACACATATTGTGAGTCCTGTGCCAGACCACTGCAATAAAGCAAAATCACAATAAAGTGAGTCGCACATTTTTTGGCTTCCCAGTGCATATAAAAGCTATGTTTAAAATATACTATAATCTGTGCAATAGCATTATGTCTATAAAAACAAGGTACATACCTTAATTAAAATACTTTGTTCCTAAAAAAAAAATGTTAATGATCACCTGAACCTTTAGCAAGCAGTCATCTTTTTGCTGGAGAGGACACTCTCTCCATGTTGATGGCTGCTGACTGATCCGGGTGGTGGTGGCTGAAGGTTGGGGTGACTGTGGCCATTTCTTAAAATAAGAAAATAGTGAAGTTTGCTGCATGGGTTGAGTCTTTCTTTTATGAAAGGTTTATCTGTAACTGTTTGATAGTATTTTACCCTTTGTCAACTACGTTTTTGGAATAAATCCTTTGTTGTCATTTCAACAGTGTTCACAGCATCCTAAGAAACCACTTTCCTTGCTCATGCATAAGAAGCAACTCCTCATCCCTTCATGTCTGATCATGAGATTGCAGCAATTCAGTCTCGCCTACAGGCTCCTCTTCTAATGCTCATTCTCTTGCCATTTCCAGTGACTTCCTCCACTGAAGTCTTGAACCCCTCAATGTCGTCTAGGAGGACTGGAATCAACTTCTTCCAACTCCTGTTAGTGTTGATATTTTGACTTCCTCCCAGGAATCACAAATGTTCTTAATGGCATCTAGAATGGTGAATCCTTTCCAGGAGGTTTTCAATTTACTTTGTCCAGATCCGTCAGAGGAATCGCTATCTAAGCAGTTAAAACCTTTCAAAGTGTACTCCTTTAATAACAAGACTTGAAAGTCAAAATGACTCCTTGATCCACAGGCTGTAGAACGGCTGTTGCGTAAACCGTCAGGGAAACAGCGTTCATCTCCTTGTGCATCTCCATCAGAGCTCCTGTGTGGGCAGGTGCACTGTCAAGGAGCACCTACGTACTGCGTCATATTTTGAAATAAATATTTTTTTCTGAATATTATGTCTTAACCTTTGGCTTAAAATATTCAGTCAACCATGCTGTAAACAGACGTGCTATCATCCAGGCTTTGTGTTCAATTTACAGAGCACAGGAGGAATAGACTTAGCATCATTCCTAAGGGACCAAGGATTTTTAGGATGTTCTTTGAGCACTGGCTTCACCTTGAAATCATGAGCTACATCAGCCCCTGAGAAGAGAGTCTGCCTGTTCCTTGAAGTTTTGAAGCCAGGCACTGACTCCTCTCCAGCTATGCAAGTCCGAGATGGCTTCTTCTTCCAATAGAAGGCTGTTTTGCATACACTGAAATTCTGTGGTTCAGAGTAACCACCTCCATCAATGATTTTAGCTAGAGCATTTACATAACCCGCTGCAGCTTCTGTATCAGCACCTGCAGTTTTGCCTTGCACTCTTATGTTATAGATGTGGTGTCCTTCCTTAAACTTCATGAACCAACTTCTCCTAACACAAACGTTTCTTCTGCCACTTACTTACCGCTCTCAGCCTCCACAGAATTAAGAGAGTCAGGGCCTTCCTCTGGACTAGGCTTTGGCCAAAGGAAATGTGGCTGGTTTGATCTTCCACCAGACAACTCAGATTTTCTCAACATTTCTCAAACATTTTTCATTTCTTTCAAGAACTTTTTCTTTGCATTTACAACTTGGCTAACTGTTTGGAGCAAGAGACCTCACTTTCAGCAGAACTTGGTTTTTGGCATGCCTTCCTTACTAAGTGGAATCTTTTCTTTCTTTTTGAGACCGAGTATCACTGTTGCCCAGGCTGAAGTGCAGTGGCATGATCTCGGCTCACTGTAGCCCTTGCCTCCCAGGTTCCAGTGATTCTCCTGCCTCAGCCTCCCGAGTAGCTGGGACTAGAGGCATGCACCAGCACCACCATGCCCAGATGATTTTTGTATTTTTAGTAGAGACAGGGTTTCGCCATTTTGGCCAGGATGGTCTCGAACTCCTGACATCAGGTAATCTGCCCACGTTGGCCTCCAAAAGTGATGGGATTAAGGGTGTGAGCCACCGCTCCCAGCCAAGAGGAATCTTTTCTAGATTTTGAATTCAAGTGGGAGACATGCAACTCTTCCTTTCATTTAAACATTTAGGCCATTGTAGGGTTATTAATTGTTTTAATTTCAATGTTATCATGTCACAGGGAATAGGGAGGCCCAAGGAAAGGGAGCGATATGGGCTGACAGCCAATTGGCAGGGCAGTCTGAATACATACATTTATTGATTAGGTTCGCTGTCTTATTAAGTGCTGATATAGAAGCTGCAGCTAGTTATGTAGATGCTTTAGCCAAGATCATCGATGGAGGCGGCTACTTTGAACAACAGATTTTCAATATATTCAAAACAGTCTTCTTCTGGGGTGCAATTGGTGGTACCCCAAAACAATTACAATAGTAACATCAAAGATCACCGATCGCAGATCATCATAACAGATACAGTAATAATAATAATGTAAACTACGGCAAGAATTACCAATATGTGACACAGAGTCATGAAGTGAGTAGCTGTTGTTGGAAAAATGGCCCTGATACACTTGCTTGACACAGGACTGCCACAAACCTTCAATGTGTAAAAAACACAATATCTGCAGAGTGCAACAGAGCAAAGCACAGTAAAACGAGAGACACACCCATCATTGCTGCCCCTCTGAGGCAGGCATCATTAGGCACTGTACCTATAGTATCTCATGGCATACTTTAGATGCTTCTATGAAGTAGACATAATTCCTACCTCTATGGCCGTTTTTCATAGCTGGTCATCCTGCCCCTGGCCTTGCTCCACTGCAGTCCATTCTCTACACAGTGGCCAGATTGCTTCTCCCTCATACATCATCTCACCCCACCCTTCTGCTTAGAATTGCTCCAAGGCGTTTTAGTTATATAACACTGTTTCCCCCAAACATAGTGACTTAAAAAACAAAAATAACTTCTGCCTCTGTGGATGAGGAATTCAGGAAGGACTTGGTCTGGTAGTTCTCCCTGGGAGGTCCCTACCGCGATTCCAGTTGTGAGTTGGTTAGGGATGCCATCATTTGAAGTCGTGATGGAGCTAGATAGCCTGCTCCTAAGATGGCCCAACTGCATGCCTGCCTGGGAACCTGGGACTGGCTGGAGATTGAAGGGCTCTGTCCTGTCCACACAAGCTTATCCAACAGAGCTGCTGAGTGTAGGGCGTGGCTTCCCCTGTGGGAGCAACGCAAGGTGCCAAGATGGACCTGGTATTGCCATTTATACTCCAGTACTGGAAGTCACACCCCATCATGTCTACCATATTCTAGTGGTACAGGAATTTGCAAATATCTGCTGTGTTTGAGGGGACATAGACCCTGCCTCCCTATGCAGTCATGTCAATCATCATTGGTGGGATAGGGTACATGTTGGGGTTTATGTCAGAGGCTGGGGAACATAAAGCCTGTGTCCAGAACCATCGCACTGTCCTACCCCCACACAGAACACTCTCTACCCAAAGCCCCTCTGGCCAGCATTGCTTTCTGCCATTTCAGCCTTTGCTAAGGCATGAGAAATGTTGCCACATCCATTCCATCTGCTACAAAGGAATGCTAGTTATTATTAGCGATAACAGAATGAAAAGGAAACAGTTGGTTTTGAGCTTCTAACATATGGTGTGGTTGGCTCTTTCTGAGAAGAGAGATACTGCTTGTGCCCAAGGAATCCCTGAGGATCCCTCTGTGGGACGCCCTCATCCCACAGCTTTGTCTCTCCAGGACTGGCTGTGTCCAGCCACTGCTGGGAAGTAGAGCATCTGATTGGTTACCCTGTGTCATAAAAGAGTTGGCATCTGAACTAACCTCTTTATGCAGAGTTTCAGGGCACTTCCTCTGGGTCCCCCCTCATAGCTCCATCAGCCAAGGAATGGATTTGGGTGGAAACATCTGTCCTGAACATCGAGGTACTACAGTCATGCAAATGCGAGTCCCGGCACAGACAGTGTGTCTGTTTCTATCGAGCTGGCAGGTGGGTTTTAAAGCTAAGTTGCAAGTGTGCCTGGGCACAGGGACAGTTGTATGAGCAAAGGAACAACTTTGTGACAGGGAGGGAGATAGGACCTGCTCTAGGGGGGTCTATAGGCTCTGCAGGCTCAGAAAGAAGCAGGTGTGATGAAAACCTCCTGGGAGCAGCTCACCATTCTGTTCAGGCCTCCTGACTCATTAGGAGATTCTGGTGGCATCCACCTCCCTGACTTCAATCTCTCTAGCTGTAAGCCTGAGGATTGGAAGACTTGGCACAGTCTTTCCTCCCCAAGGGTACTGCGCTGGTGATGTTTGCAGAGTGCATCACACTCCTCTGATAAAAGGTGTATCCTGAGTACAAAATATCATTGTCACTATTCCACAATGTGGCTAAATATAGGCTTGCGCCAATCTGCTAAAGAGCAGAGTGTCTCTTCAACATTTGCCTGGAAGGAACAAGTGGCCCAGGGGCTGCAGAGGATGCAGCAGAAAAGAGCTGGAATGCAGCATCAGTGTGCCTGAGACGGGGGCATGGGGAGAGGAAGAGAAAGACCGTGCATGCCCTCCTGGTGGGCAGCCCAAGCCCACTGGGGGACAGTGAGTCCAGAGTGCAGCAACGCTGGAGTCCTGCTGTGAAAGGCCACGATAGCTGAGCCCCTGCGAGGAATGGAGCAAGGAGATCACAGAGCACGGAGCACATTGCATCTGCCCCACGCAGTGGCAGAGCAGGAAGCTCAAGGGCCTGGCGTTAAGAGGTACCATTCAAAGTAAGAGGGTAGGAGTCTCCCTTGCTGTTGTTGTTGTTTTGTTTGTTTTTGTTTTCTCACACAGTCCCAGAGGGTGCTGTGGTGTCCTGACATGCTCCTTGTGTTGGAGCTGTTCTTCATTATGTCTAAGACTGAGCAGGCGTGAGAGCTGGGCATCCTCCCCTTGCTGCACTCCGCTGGTCCCCAAGACACCCTCCCCATGCACTGCTTCCTTCCGCTTGTCGCCTGCGCACAGCACCACACCCGGAGCTCTGCTCGTTCCCTCTTCGGACTGGCAGCTGGTTATAGAGGGGTCTGGGATGTCAGCTCTGAAATGCTAAAAATAAAACCAAGCTTTCCATCCTGGGATGTCTCATTAGTGTGCTTACAAATGAGTCCCCCTGCAGTTTTTCAGCAATTGGCTAACAAGCTCTAATTTGAGCGTTTGGGTTGGACCTTGGCTCAGCGGGAGCAGACCCGGAGCAGATGCCGTCTCCGAGCAGCCTGTCTGGGGAAGCCGGTCAGTTTCCACTCTATCACAGTCTCACAGAACAGGGAAGCTGCAGGAAGGTTGACAAAAACACAGCAAAGCAGCGAGAGCCTCCCTGGTGGAGAGCCACACCCAGGTGGGTGTGGGCATGGAGAGCAGTGGGGCCCACCTGGGTGGGTGCAGGGGGCTGGGAGGAGGGGCCGAGAGCACTTGGTATGTTAGGTCAAGGTGTGGAGGAAAGGGCTTGGAAAATTCCTGCAGCAGCTTCCTGGCCCGGTGAAATGTTCTTGCCAGCAAGCGTGAATCTCTGATTTGTAATAAAAATCAATATGCCTTGCATGCCAACTATGCCTTCTCCTACCCTGCACTTGTGATGTCACAGGTTGTCATTCTGGGATTGAGCAACCCTTTCAGGGTTGAGCCAATTTCTAGGTCATGTGGAGTGGGCCAGCTTTAATGAACCTGTCTAAAAGGAAGGAAGAGAAAGCTCAGCTCATCGGGAAAGGGAGGAGGACCTTGGCAGCCGTCTCACTCCTCACCAGCTCTTCTTCTTGGATCTTGTTCTGACTCCTTGGTCCGCTAATGGCCTCCTGGATGAAAGAGTTAGGTAATGATCCCCACCTCCCAATACTCATTGCTCAGTTTCAACAATCATCAACATTTTGCCAACCTTTTTTTTGAGACAGAGTTTTACTGTTGTTACCCAGGCTGGAGTGCAATGGCGTGATCTCAGCTCACCGCAACCTCCGCCTCCTGGGTTCAAGCAATTCTCCTGCCTCATCCTCCTGAGTAGCTGGGACTACAGGTGTGCACCACCAAGCCAGCTAATTTTTTGTATTTTTAGTAGAGACAGAGTTTCACCTTGTTGACCAGGATGGTCTCGATCTCTTGACCTTGTGATCCACCCACCTTGGCCTCTCAAAGTGCTGGAATTAGAGGCGTGAGACACCGCGCCCGGCCCATTTTGCCAATCTTGTTTCATCTCTCCTCTGATCTTTTTCCTTTTCTGGAACATTCAGATTCTCTAACTTTGCGAGTGGAACTAAGAGCCTTCCTCACCCACAGCACCACTATTAGCCTATAAACCTCTTTTAAGGACAGGGATTCACCTCAGCTCAATTGTTCTGCTACACATGAGGTACCTGGCTTCTGTGTTGAGAGATGTTGCAATTATATGATTTTTAGCACATAAAGTGTTAGTATTCGGAATCCAGTTCGGCTCACTCTAGATGAGCCATACAGTCTTTATTTTTTCTCCTCTCCCTTTTGTCTTCCCGAGTTGAAATAGTTACCAGCTTTCCCATACCTCCCCCTGCACCCTCTATTGCCACTTGTTTTTCTTTCTTTTTTTTTCTAACCACGCCATGAGGTATTTCACCAGCAACTCTTTATTATCTAACCCCACTGCACCAGCCCAGGGGATGTTCTGAAAATCGACAATGATCATGATATACCCTGGGTCCAGAATACTTCTTTATACAACGGTCGTGTATGAAGACAGATCTGCCAGGCTCCATCAGGAAATCTCTGTGTCTCCTTCACATCCAGAGGGACAGAATATTATCCGGAGACGGAGAATGCTTCTGAGAGCCTCTAGCACAGGGGTCCCAATCCCCCAGCTCTGACTGGTACCAGTCCCAGTCTGTGGGCTGTTAGGAACCTGGCCAGACAGCAGGACGTGAGTAGTGGGGAAGTGAGCATTACCACGTGAGTTCTGCCTCCTGTCAGATCAGCGGGGGCATTAGAGTCTCACAGAAGCATGAACCCTATTGTGCAGTGCACATGTGAGGGCTGTAGGCTGGGTGCTCCTTATGAGAATCTAATGCCTGAGGATGAGGCGAAACAGTTTCATTCCGAAATCAACCCCCCTGCCCCAATCTGTGGAAAAATTGTCTTCCATGAGACCAGTCCCTAATGCCAAAAACTTTGGAGACCACTGACCTAGTAGACCTGCCTGCTGGGCTTACTGTATATATATGAAATTGATAATTATTTCTTTTGTCAGAAATTGTAAATGTTACGTCAGTATTTCTTTCGTATTTCCAACATCACACCAAAGGTGAGTCTTAATGCTTTGTTTCAGCTGTTTTGTTTTTTTTTTTTCCCTTAGGCAGAGAACAAAGATTGGTGGCTTCCTCCTGAGCACTCTGGGATGTGACATTACTTTGGGGGCTGCTGAGTGCCCTTACCTACAGCTACCCAGATGCCGAGGCAGGTGGGTTGGGCCAGGGAGTTTGATGCTGCGCCTCCTTAAGTGAGAACTGCATCATCCAAACAGTCAGCTCTCAGCCAGATGGCACCCCGAGGTTCTGAGACTTTCAGCACAACAAGCACATCTGCCAGTTGGGTTCCTGTGCTTGTCTCTCTTTTCTTCTCGGCACTAGACACCAGGGCTTTAATTACGTAGCCAAAATCAGCTGCAACACACTCCTCCGTCTCATCCGGGTTGCACCAAAAAGCCCTTGTTGTACCCCCCAAAAGCCCCTAAATGTGAACAAATCATGGCTGGTCATCAGGGCCAGAGGGCGCAAAGCTGCTAAGTGGGCTGAGCCAACCCCGGGCGCCTTTGGTCCTCCCTGTGATGATGCTCTCTTCCTCACAGCCCTCTTCGCCCTGCTCTCACCCTCCCACCTGCTGTCTGAGGGCCCCTCGTGTAGACACTCAGCCAGGCCCAGACCTCAGTGCTCTCTTGGCCTGGCCTTTCCACTGGGTTTCCTGATATCCTTAGTGCCTGGGGCCCCAGGGAAAGGCTTGGCCAGAGAGCTGCTTGGAAGCAACAGTTGCTATATAGACAATTGAGAGAAATCTGTGTGGCTGAGCGGCCATACTCTTCTGTCAATCCTGCCCAGATATCCTGCTTTCCTCATCACAGCCAGCATTTTTTTGAGTGCTCACTGTGTGCCAGGCACTTTGCTGTATTAACTCATTTAATCCTACGACCCCCCCCCCCCCGTGAGGTAGGTGCTGCTGTTAATCTCATTTTACAGATGAGAACACTGAGGCACAGAGAGGTTCAGCCACTTGCCCGAGATCACCCAGCTAATAATAACCAGAGGTGGGATTCATATCTAGGATTTAAGCCTGACTCAAGAGCCCAACGGCTTTTAAAAGAAAACCTGAAACGATGTAATATTCCATCTGACATGGAAAAAAGAGAAAAAATTATTGGCTCAAAGGGTTGCATTCTGATGCTTTCCTTTTCCCTTTTTATTTTCTTATTTACACATTAAAAAAAATTATAGTTCTCACACAGTGACTTTGTCAAGAGTAAATATGATAGTGGAGCTTCAGATAATGTGAAAAACCAGTGGAGGAGACAATTTTAGGAGGCTTTGCTGTGTCCTCTTCACCTGACACAGGTGGGTAGCCTTAGGTCTGGTTTATAATCTTGCCCAGCCTCATAAAGGAAAGACTAAAACTCCTAGAAGCACCCCATGTTTTCAGAGTTGTTATGGAAATGTGGTATGCAAAGCCTCTGAAAGGAAAGAATCATCTTAGGGACGTGAGGATCTGCTAAAATCGTAAGGGCCACGTGAATAAGAGGAGGATTGACCTGTGATGATGATTGGCAAAAAATGAAAATATCCACAAACTCCCCACCGTGGAGGAGGGGTCGTACGCAGGAAAGGACATTGTCTCTGCCCTTTGGATATGTTGAAAGATGCTCTAGCACAGAGAAATTCACTAAAAACTAAATTGCAGAGGAGCATGTGACACAGGTCATAGAGCAAGGGGCGTTTTGAGAGAGTACCAGGCAAACCAGCAAGGGGTAAAGGCAGAAGATGGAGCTGTGGCTTGGAGAGAGGACTTGGAGGCTGGAGAGCTCACGTCACCAGGCAAGACCTAGCCGCAACCCACATGCTCACTGCCTCCACTGTCCTTCCAATATGCGCCAGCCTATTTCCATGCCTCCTGGATCTCTTGCCTCTAGCTACAGTACCTGGCATGCAGCTGGTGCTCAATATACTTTTGTTTAAAAACAAATCAATGAATAAATGAATAAGCATGGCAACTGAGTTTTTACCATGAAGTTCGTCAGGTGTATGAAATTTGAAGAGCCACTTCCACATCTCCACTGAATTCCCCTTTGTCTTGTCAGTTTCTCCCTCTTCCTTTACTGCACCTCTCAGATCTCGCAGCACAGCCTTCATGGTGTCACTCACCGTGGGATATGTTAGGCTGCATCCACTGCATTATTTGGTGTGTCATTAGTGCCCTGACCTGGAGAGAGATTGCCTTAAAAGGGTGGTTACCCTCACTAATAAGCATTACGCAATGTCTTCACTGCCTTCTCTTGGCTCTTTCAGTCTCCATCCTGGATCCTACTGATGTGATCTTTGGTGATGGCGCTGGGTGAACATGGTCCTGACAATAAGATGTGCATAGGCTCACCCCTAGCTCAGCCTCTACCTTACTCTGGAACCTCTAGCTCATCCCCTACTATATATTGGGGGTGGCAGGTCTTACCCTGGGTCCCCAACATGGTTCTCACTAGAGACACTTGGGAAAGCTCATTGAAAAGTTACTGTTCTGAATGGGCATGGTGGCTCACCATTGTAACCCCAGCACTTTGGGAGGCAGAGGCAGGTGGACCACCTGAGGTCAGGAGTTCCAGACCAGCCTGGCTAATATGGCAAACCCCATCTCTACCAAAAATACAGAAATTAGCTGGGCATGGTGGCAGGGGACTGTAATCCCAGCTACTTGGGAGGCTGAGGCTGGAGAATCGCATGAACCCAGGAGGTAGAGGTTGCAGTGAGCTGAGATCGCACCATTGAACTCCAGCCTGGGTGACAAGAACAAAACTCCATTTCAAAAAAAATAAAAATAAAATAAAACTTACCATTCTATTAAATGTACTCTCTCTAGTGAATGAAATCTTCCTGGGTATAATGATTTGAACATTCTCTATAACTCTTCACTCCTTTTTACACCATCTTTTTTAATGAGAGAAAAATACCCTGTGCACTATTTTCTCCTTTCCCTTTTTCTAGTTAGAATTAAACAGAAGAAAAATGGTGCCATCATTCCCAGAGGTCCTCAGCATCTTTACTTTACACTAGAAAACTCTCAATCCAAAGCTAAAATTCATATGTAAGCCAATGTCCTTCAGCTAATGGTTGCTTACATATTCTAAAAAGCTTTGTATTTCTGACTTCGTGTTGTTGTTAACTCTCTATTTCTCTGGAGCTTATTTATCAGTCTGAAAAAATCTCCTGGAAACTCCTCCCCACATAAAACTATTCTAAACCTGTGTAAAACCTTTAATTTAATCAACACATTACCATTTCCTAAAAAAGGGTAAATGAGATCAACTCAATTTATACCAGGAAGAAAGGAAATTAATTTCATTCAATTATAAATAGGAGAAGGCTTTATACAGGTAACAGTTTAACAATTATAGTAGTGGGGATTATGAAACATTCTGAATCAGGATGCCAAGAGGTCACACATCCCTGATAGTTTTCAAAATACCTCCCCAAATCCTGAAAGCAACAATTTAGTGAAGGCCCAAGAGCCAAAATAGTCCTTAAGAAATGAAAAATAATGACGCCTAAAAAGAGGGAATTGTGTAATAATCAGAAATTAGATTTGACACTGGTGACTCACCTGTATATATACCCAGAGCTTGCCTTCTGGCTACTTCTAAGACTGGTAGACAATGGATTGTTTAAGCCATGTTCAGAAGATACCCGGCACCTTTCTAGAAGCAGATTTTTTGTGGGTAGAAGGGAAGGAATCCAGGATTTGTGGGAGAGTTACAATAAAATATAACCTAAGGTGATTAAAACAGAATGGCCCCTGGACAGCAATGCTGACTTGCACACTGAGGTCAGTGGACGTGGATTCATGTAAGCTGTCTACAGACCAGCTGGTAAAAATACCGGGGAATGGTTAGAAATTAGCAGGAAAATATGCCAACCGTGTTGTTTATTCTGGAGGACAAATTATGATTCTAGAACACATGAAAGAGAAAATTGCATGGGACGCTAGAAGTCATCTTCTTATGCTTCACCCTCATAGGAAGCCGCACGCCATTTGGATTATTGCACTTCTCAAAGTACATGGAAAGACTTGGGACCATCCAGAGAAGAATGTTACAAACAAAAGGGCAGAATGCATGATGGCAAAGATGCCCCATGAGGAAAGGCTGAAGAATCAGGACTAGTGGAGCTAAAGAGAAAAACTCAAGTGATAAAACATTATTGTTTTCAAAAATGTCCCAGGTTTTTGGCTAGAAGATGTCACTCATACGTTTCCCGAACACATGGCGGCCCCTGGAAGACAAAAGTAAAGATGGAAACCAGACCAGTAAAGAAGTCCTTTGATGGCCTTCCGAGGCAACGCTCCCTCACAGTTGCGGGCAGCGTCTCATCTTTGTCACTTCTGGCGTGATGCTGCACACCCACAGCCAGTGCATCATCTCTGCCTGTGCCCGTGTCTTGCCTTCTTTCTCTCCTCACCTCGACCAGCTTGGCCAGCTCGTTGGTCACTGGGGTTGCACTCACCATGCACGTACCTGGCTCCCACAACCTCAGAAGTTCTCAGTACAATGCAGGACTGGAGATTGAAACCAATGAAAGGTTGTTAAATAAATGAACAATTTAAAGAGGAAATATTTAATGCTGAGAACAAAGACTAGAAAAGAGATGTCTCGTAAGAAATTTCACAGTGAAATGCCATGTGTTGCACTCTGTAAGTTCCTCTCCATCTCCTTAACACAGTGTTTAGTGAAATCTACAGTGCTCACTTGTACTGTGTGGAGTCTGTGGGTGAAAGCTTGTAGATATCCAACATTTGTGTAACACTAGAAAGTCCATTTTGCCCTCTCTGAGAAAATCTAGTGATTCTGCTGTTATGTCTAGATTCAGATCCCTCAATAAGAGTTCTCTTGGCCTCATTTTCATAATGATCCTCAGAAGCATTTACTAACTAGGCTGTACCCACCTAGTACAGCTCTGTCCATATGGTAGGTCTGCAATAGATTCTTGCGATCTTATGGTAATTAGACAGCAATATGATTCTGGAATTGTGGCAATTTAGTTATTCTGTTCCGCTGACCTCGCATGTGTTAGGTAACTCATGCCCATCCTTGTAGGTTTGTATTTAGACGTGTCATCCTGGGAGCCACTCAGCTTCCTGGGAGGATGGGGATGGAGAGTCTACTGAAGTTCTTCAGCATCTCCAGTTGACCTTGGCAGAGATCCTGAGTGAACTCCATGAGGATCTACAGGGAACTGGCAGCTGGCCCCTTCTGCTGTTATTTTCCTGAAACCATGTTACATTATAAGAGGCTGGAAGGGACGGTGAGAAATCATTTATGCCATGCGTCTCTGGGTAGAACAGCACACACCCATCGCAGGAGCTGGATGCTTCCCCTCTTCTATTCCCCTCCACATCCTTCCATTATGTCTTTTCTTTTTATTTGTTTCCAAGCCACGTTTATCTCCAAAGTCAACCTTTGTTAGGTTTACTTTAGAACACCACAGTTCCCCATTGCATCTCTCACCCCCTTGCCAAAATTATGCAAGTTAAGAATAAGCCCCATCTGGTTGGGGTTGTTTGTGATTGAAAAGTAATTGGGTTATAATATGCTAATTCTTATGTTAACATTTGGCTCCAAAGATAAAGAGACCTGGAAATGCTAATATGAGAATCCTCCCACAAAAAGGATTACCAGCAGGAAGTTTGCAGGAGGAGAAGAAAGGAGGGGACCCAAATGGAGCAAGGACTAGAAACGCAGGCCCTTTAGAAATAATAAAGGGGTTTTATTGGTTTGCTTCTTTATACTTTCTTTTATTTTGCAAATTTTGTGATTACTATGTGCTACTGTAACACTTAGTAGGAAAAATAATGTAATGTCTAAACAGAAAAAAGAATGAGGAACTTTTAGAGCAGAAGCAGAAGGAGGAAAGGCTGAGAATGGCCTTAGCAGAGCCTCTCCCAGGAGAGGGTCAGGTGCTGGCCCCAGCTGGCTTCCCAAGACAGGAAGACTTGGGCTCAGGGAAAATCCATGGCTGGGATCCAAGGAAGTTGATGAGTCAGCTTTCAGGTGGGTGAGCGAACAGTGGTTCCAACCTGGGCCTCAGGACCAGTGGGACTGAGAGGAAAGGGAAATTCTATCTTCAAACTTGGTGGAAGAGGTCGATGCGAGCTTTGACTCAGAAGCTGTAAAAACCATATCTGGTTGATGTTTCTCGATTCATTCATTTCTTCAAGGAATCTTCTACAAATATCTGTTACCCTCTCTGTACAGTATACTCTGCTAGTCTCTGTGGGTACTGGGAAGATGAATAAACAGCTTCCCTGTGTGAAGAGCAGGGGCTTTCTCTGTGAGCCTGTGAAGGAGGCTGTGCAGACATCAACCTGCTGAGGTCTTCACACCCCTCCTCCTGGCTGACCGGGAGCACTCAGTGATGAAGGAGAGAGAGGATGGCCTTGGCTGGTGGTGCCTTGAGAAGTGCTGGAGAAGAGCTGGGCCCTCACTTGGGAAATCTTTTCTTTTCTTTGAGACAGGGTCTCACTCTGTCACCCAGGCTGGAGTAAAATGACATGCTTAGAGCCCACTGCAGCTTCAACTTCCCAGGTTCAAATGATCCTCCCACCTCAGCCTTTCAGGTAACTGGGACTACAGGCTCGTGCCAGCACTCCCAGCTGATTTTTGTGTATTTTGCAGAGATGGAGTTTCACTGTGTTGTCCAGGCTGGTCAAGCGATCTGCCCACCTCAGCCTCCCAAAGTGCTGGAATTACAGACATGAGCGACTGTGCCAGGCCTCACTTGGGAAATCTTAAGAAAAGAAAGAAGGTGGTGAGCTGGAAAGGGCCTTGAATTATGGCTCTCTGACTGTCAGCTGCCCCAGGGCGTGTTCCATCCTGAACCTTCATCAAATCCTTTCCTCACATGAGTCCACCCATAGGAAGCTCTGAACTTCTGTTAAAAGCGAGTAGTTGTGACCAGGTGTGGTAGCTCATACCTATAATCCCAGCACTTTGGGAGGCCAAGGTCGGTGTGTCACGTGAGGTCAGGAGTTCGAGACCAGCCTGATCAACATGGAGAAACCTGGTCTTTACTAAACTTACAAAATTAGCTGGATGTGGTGGCACATGCCTGTAATCCCAGTGATTTGGGAGGCTGAGGCAGGAGAATTGCTTGAACCCAGAAGGCGGAGGTTGCAGTGAGATTGTGCCATTGCACTCCAGCCTAGGTAACAGAGCAAGATGTCTCAAAAAAAAAAAAAAAAAAGTGGGTAGTTTTCCTCTCCTCATCACCAATGGTCTCTTTCTGACCCTCTTGAAACCCTGCAATGAATTCTCAAAAATATTAAGGATCTATTTAGCCTCTTTTCTTCCCTTACCTTCAGCAGGAGGTCGCATATCATATTGGCAGCAGATGAATCCCATCTGCACTATAGAGGTCCAAGATTTCAATCAGTGAGTTACGGACACCATCAATGAAAACAGCAGTGCATCAGGGAATCACGTGACGATCATAGCTAAACGAAGCCCTATCCTGAGAGGACTCTGTTGATGCCTCAGCTTCTTGCTTCTAAGCTCCTGGCCCCATTCGGTCTGAGGCAACAAAGATTCAGATTGATGCCATTTATTTGCACCAACGTGCAGAAGAGGCAGCGGAAGTGTTGGGAGACCTGTGAAGAACCATTCATTGGGGTGAGACTAAGCCATACCTTCTACCCTGAAAACTTGGTCTACAAGTAAGTTCTCCCAACAAATGCGAATGATGTGCTGTGTGGCTAGGATGGGGGCAGCTAATCAGTGCTCAGCGCATTTCCCCGGGAAAAGGTTTCCAGGATGCTTTTTAAGGAAAGCAATGAGCTGTTTGTTCCCTGGTTGTGGGAGAAGAGGGTGTTTGTTGATCACACATCTTTTTAATTAGTTATAGACACAGATGGGTTTTTTTTTTTCCACTTTTTTTCTAACATATATTTACTTATCTAATCAAAGGTGTCCAGTATAAAAATGCAGGAGTCAGACTTCCTTAGCCACCAGAGGCGTCTTTTCCCTGCTTCTGTGTTATTAGCTCTGAAGGTCCTCGATAGATTGGACCAGTCTAACAGGCCTCTTATCTTCATACAGATGTAACACCAAGCGAGGTGCTGTAGGCGGGCCAAACACTACAGGTGTCAAGCAAGATGTGTGTTGGGTTGTGTTCATCCAATTCATATCAGGGCTTTGTGTAATTTCATGCTTCTCTCCTTCAGCGGCAAAGTAACCGTGCTTAGAAAATCCGTTTGACCTTCTCTGAGCCCAGCTTGCTTATCCACGTAAAGAGGTCTGGACTGAATGTTCCCAAGTTCCTCCCTGCTCTAAGCTCCCAAGCTGAAGCTGGCACACACAGCAGGACCTCCGCGGAGGAGCAAACGTCTGCTCCGTGCCCACCCGATAACACTCCTCGGTGCCGTCGGCTTCAGAGCGTGGGTTCCGAGCTCCTGTCTTGTCTGACTGGAACAGTTCGACTTCCGCTGCAAGGTCCAGCTCAAACACCATCTCCTCTCAGAGGCCTTTCCAGCCCTGTTCTTTTCCACACGTGTGTGTTTGGGCAGACACACATATGTGTCAGGGTCCCTCTGTAAAGAATCTGAACAGTCTAATTCTAAAAGGGCTCCTAGAATGACACCACCTCAATTTCAGTGGAGGCATCACTGCACGGCTAGTGATGGCATTCAGGACCTGCTCTGTAAAATGCAGCACCTTGGCATTTGAGAAAGCAGCAGATGCAGAACGTTCTCTCTGACCTTCTCCTACCCTTCTGCCCTGAAGCAGGCCATCAAAGACTAAAGGAGGTGAGAAGACCCTCTTGTGATGACACCCTCCCTCCACACCCAGAGGAAAGCGATGTCTCTATCTGAAAACACAGGGACACAGAGAAGAATCTGAACAAATAGGCCTGGCTTGTTCTCCTCAATTTATAACCATTAGGAGGGTGGCTCATGCCTATAATCCCAGCACTTGGGGAGACCAAGGGGTGTGGATCACCTGAGGTCAGGAATTTGAGACCAGCCTGGCTAACATTGTAAAACCCCATTTTTACTAAAAATGCAAAAATTAGCTGGGTGCTATGGTACGTGCCTGTAATCCCAGCTCCTCAGGACACTGAGGCAGGAGAATCGCTTGAACCTAGGAGTAGGAGATTGCAGTGAGCCAAGATCACACCACTGCTTGGTGACTGAGCAAGACTCCATCAAAAAAAAAATTATGACCCTTAGGTCATGCCCCTTGGACAAGTCACCCTCATCCATTTTTGTCCACTCTTCATCAAACCTCACATAAAATACCTTCTTTTGGGGGTCTTCATTGCTGAAGGCTTTTGTGTCGCATAAAACTTACACTAAATCAATGTGTATGCTTTTTTTCTTGTCGCACTGTCTTTTTTGTTACAGTAGCATCAGCCACAAGCCTAGAAATGGGTGAGAAAAGATGTTACCTTTTCTCCCCTACACTGGCTCTTAGCATCAGTGAGAGAGTAAGGCAGAGTTGGCACATAGGCAGAGTAGCCTTTGAAAAGCCCTTCTCCGTTCCATGTGTTACAATGCTTTAGGGAGTGTGTTGTTTGAAAACTGCTCATATATCCAGAATCACATCAGCTCCACAAGGCACTGGCACAAGGAGGGTCATGGAGGAGTGACCTGGTGGTGGCTTCTCATCTCTCTGCTCATGATATGCCACATCCATTCTCCCTTTCCTCTGGCTGTCACATGTGGAGTGAAAGTCTCAGAAGTGGCTGTCCCTGTGCACCTCCCAGCCGTGTCCAGGTTAGTGCACTTCTGCAGCCGGCTCGTGGCTGGTCCCGAGCCTCAAGCCTGGGGCCATAACCCATTCATCTTCAGTGGCCAGCAGAGCAGGGACTTTTCCTAGAAGCACGGGTGAATGCCTGTTCCACAGACAGACCTTTTGCTGTTTGTGAGAGAATCATGTGAAACACAGCCTTGTCACAAGCCATCTCTTCTCAATGTGAGGAGCTCCCAGGGTCCCAGAGCAGGTGTTGGCTGGTCTCATTTTAGAATCGCTCCCAGAGTGGAGGGTTGTGCTTAGCGATGAGTCTTACATCTCCCGCTGCCAGGGCCAGCTTGCGCGTTTCAGAGGCCAGGCATGGGTTTCTTTTTATATTAAACCACCCATCTTATTTCCAATGGCAGAAACTCAAAGGTGTGCTCTGGATAAGTCATTCTAGAGAGTGGACCAAGGACATTCGTAAAGAGCACTCTGTGTTTGCTATGGTAGAGAGCGGCTACTGTGAGCGCGGCCTGGAGTCCCCAGGACTCTGGAGGGAGGAGGGATTTCATGGAGACGGTTCATGGGTGTCTGTTCCGGGCAGGATGGCTCAGCTCTTGCTTTCCAATTGCTGTGGCCCAGGAAGACTGAATGTACCTGCATTACACACCTTCCCCATTTCTCCCATGTCCTCATCCTCAAAGTGTTTCACTCCAGCCTGGGAACAGCTGGCAAGGGATTCCTCTACATTTCTATATTCAGGAGCACTGTGTTTACTCTATGGAGACTTACTAATCCAGCTCGTAAATAAATTACTCCAAATTGATCTGTCAGCGCAGGAAGTGAAAGGAAGTGTCTGGAGCGCCTCTCCACTCCCCGCCCAGCCACAGCCGCAGGCAGCTCCGGGAGGGAGAGGACAGCAAGCCACATTCTCCCATGTGGGGCTGGCTTCTCCTACCTCCTCCCACCTCCTTCCACCACCACAGACGTGAAAGGGGGAGACCTGACACCCCTACATTTAGATTTTGAGGAGGGAAAAGGAAGACATACTCGCTTGTTTTTAGTCCAAATGAAACTTGCCGTGAGTGCAAAGTGATATTACCATCCAAGAGGCACCTTCCTGGACATTTCTATATATTGGCCAGGGTCCTCCAAGCCCCGCCAGCAGAGGAGCGAGTGCCCTGGCGGCAGCTGCTTAGGGACAGTGGCCTTCATAGTCTTACCTCCCCGAGCCCTGCAGAAGGAGGGCTCGGAGGGAAAACGCACAGGCAGGAAGGGATAAATAGCTGGACTGTGCCATACAGAGATTCCTGGAGGCTCTAAAGACTGTTTTGAGAGCTAAGGGACATCTGAAGCTAGGATTAAATTATGGGTGTTATTTTCAGTTGCTGGGTTAAATGATTAGTGTTCTCAGGTTGGTTGTTATCCCAGGCACTGAAGTTATAGCCTTGGTCTCACCAAGATCTGTGTCTCTGCCCAGCCAGCCAGGTCCAGGGGAAGGGAGTGTGGCGTTCCGGAGGGCCCAGGACTCTGGAGAGGCCACAGGTTCCTTTGAAGCCATGAGCAGCTGGGTTCTCCCCACACTGAGGCAGTGAGCACTGGCACCTGGCATGCGTCTGCCTCACCTTGCCCTGCAATCCACATGATCGTAATTTATGACATAGAAAACAGGGATGCTTGCAACTGGAGATGAACTTATTTCAGTGCATCCTGACCCTACAGAAGGGCTCCAACTTTAAAGGAAATGAGACCCTGAATTCCCTCTTTTCCTTAACCATTTGTCCTTCTGTCCTAAAGGGGCCAGATCTGTGTTCCTGGGAGGACTCTTTACTTCTCTCTGTGTGTCTCTTTCTGTCTCTCTCCCTTTGTGTGTTTGTGTCTTCTTCTGTCTCTGTCTCCCTCTGTTTTTTCTCTGTCTCTGTTGCCCTCTTTCTCCATTTCTCTCTTTCTCTGTCTCTCTATCTCTATCTTTCTGTTTTTCTCTTTCTCTGTCCCTTTCTGTCTCCCATCTCTGTACACCCTGTATGGAGGTAACCCACTTTCCTCCCCCTGCAATCCAGTCTCACACATTTCTCTCTCTTCGATTCCTCTTAATAACTTACCCAGCAACTGAAAATAATACCCACAATTTACTCCAAGCTTCCAGGCTTCTTTAGCTCCCAAGCAGAGACCAGAGCCTTGGGGTACCCACACCCTGCAGTCCTGTTGGGTCTTACGGTCTCAGGCTCTGCATCCTGGGAGGCACCCATTCAGCCTGTGGGATACGTAGGTCTTTCCTTGTCTTTTTCTCCCTGCTGTTCCAAGGTACGTGGCATAACTGGGCCGCTCAGTATCCCTCCAGATTGTAGGCAAGAGCTGGGGAGAAGGGTCCTCAAAGGCAAGTCCTTCTCGATGCAGCTCTTATACATGTTTTTTGGTGCTGAGGATTTTGATGGTAATAATACAAATATGATGCTGTGGGCTTATGTGTAGATTTCAATTACCAATTCAGAGTGTTTCCCTGTAGTCTGGAAAACGAACATCTGTTTACAGCTTCCATTTTCTAATGACTGGAATGCCATAAACAAAGAAAACCCAGAGGAAAGCCGTCGATGCTGGAAAGTTTCTTTACATATTCTATGATGCATCGTGTGGGGTTATGCAAATAGTAACATCTCACTAAATATTTTGGTCTCTTGGGAATGGCTTCACATTGTCAAAAATATCTTATCTCAGCTTCTACTGTGATAATAGTTAACTTTTTCAAAAAGAGTAGGTGGGTTTTCTGTTGGTTGGTTGGTTGGTTGGTTGGTTGGTTGGTTGGTTGGTTTGAGACATGGTCTCGCTCTGTCACCCAGGCTAGAGTGCAATGGCGTGGAGTAATATCAGCTCATGGCCTCTGCCTCCTGGGCTCAAACAATCCTCTCACCTCAGCCTCCTGAGTAGTTGGGACCACACGCATGGGCCACCACGCCCGGCTAAATTTTTTTTTTTTT